AAATTATTATCTATCTATCATTTATATACACCATTTACCATCCACCATTTATTATCCACCCATAATCCTCACCTAACCTGATAAAAGTCTGAAGAAAACTACCAAAAAAAGGAGAAAACAGTCAATAACTCATTTTTTAAATAAAAAAATTGGGTTTGAAAGAAATTTACCTGATCTGATAAAATCTGAAGGGGAAACCTACAAAAAAAGTAAAAAAATGGTTGGTCAACCATTTCTTTTAATAAAAAAAATGAAGTTTCAAAAATTTTTTAAAACTTTACCTGGAATATCAGTATTCACACCAGAACTGATTTTCTATAAAAAAAATATAAAAAAATCGTTTTTTAGCTAAAAACGTTTTTTTTAAGTAGGTTTTGAAAATCTATCAAAACATTACCTGGGGAAACGGTAGAACTGATTCCTTATAAAAGAAAATAATAAAAAAACATTAATATAACATTTTTTTTAATAGTTTCAAATTTTTTTTCGAAACTAACCAATGGGATCGGTATTCAAGTCAAAACCGTTTCCTTACAATAAAATAATAAAAAAAAAATGTTAATAAACATTTTTTTTTAAATAGTTTCGAATTCTTTTTCGAAACTAACCAATGAGATTCAGTATTCACGCCAAAATTGATATCCCTACAAAAAAAATAAAAAAAACGTTAAAATTAATATTTTTTATTAAAGTTTTGAAATTGTTCAAAATTTGCCTTTGGGATTCGGTATTCACGCTGGAACTAAATTCCTATATAAAAATAATAAAAAAAAAACGTTTTAATATAAAAACGTTTTATTAAAAAAAGTTTCGAAATTTTTTTTCAAAACTTATCTTTGGGATTCAGTATCCACGATGGAACCGATCACAGGTCAAAATTAGTTAAATAGGGTATCAATAGGTTATCAATAGGTTATCAATCGGCTATCAATAGGCTACCCTATTGGTAGCCTATTGAACTTGCGCCATAATCCGTCACTAATCGGGCAGGCTGATTGATAACCTATTGATAACCTATTAATACCTTATTGATAACCAATTTGATAAAAATACCAATAGGATACTAATAGGTTATCAATAAGTTATTAATTGGCTAACAATCAGCCTGCCCTATTGGTGATTTATTATGGCGCAAGTTCAATAGGCTACCAATAGGGTAGCCTATTGATAGCCGATTGATAACCTATTGATAACCTATTGATACCCTATTTAACTAATTTCGACCTGTGGATATCCCTATAATTAAATATAAAAAAAAATGTTAAAATAAACGTTTTTTTTTAAATAAGTTTTGAAACTTTAGTTTTGAAACTTACCTGAAATATCGGCATCCATGTTGGAGCTGATTTTCTATATTAAAGTATAAAAAAATGTAAGAAACGTTTTTTTTAAAGAAGTTTCGAAACTTTAGTTTCAAAACTTACCTAGAATATCGGCATCCACGTTGGAGCCGATTTCCTATATTAAAGTATAAAAAAAAACATTAAAAACATTTTTTTAAAGAAATTTCAAAACTTTAATTTCAAAACTTACCTGGAATATCGACGTCCATGTTGGAGACGATTTCCTATATTAAAGTATAAAAAAAACGTTAGAAATGTTTTTTTAAAAAAGTTTTGAAACTTTTAGTTTTGAAACTTACCTGAAATATCGGCATCCGATTTCCTATATTAAAATATAAAAAAAAAATGTTTTTTTTATTAAAAAACGTTTTTAAAAAAGTTTTGAAACATTTATTTCGAAACTTACCTGGAATATTGGTATCCATGCTGGAACCGATTTCCTATTATAAAAAATAAAAAAAAAACATTTTTTTTATTAAAAAACGTTTTTAAAAAAGTTTTAAAACATTTGTTTTGAAACTTACCTAGAATATCAGCGTCCACGTTAGAGCCGAATTCTTATATAAAAAAACAAAAAAAATGTTATAAATATTTTTTTTATAAAGTTTCAAATTTTTTTTTGGGAACTGATATCCCTATATAAAAAATAATAAAAAAAACGTTTTTAGTATAAAAATGTTTTTTATATATTAAAGTTTCAAAATTTTTCAAAACTTAACTTTGGGATTCAGTATTCACGCTGGAACTGATATCCCTATATTAAAAATAATAAAAAAAAACATTTTTAGTATAAAAACGTTTTTATTAAAGAAAGTTTCAAAATTCTTTTTTCGAAACTTATCTTTGAGATTCGGTATTCACGCCGAAACTGATATCCCTATAATTAAATATAAAAAAAACATTTCATTAAAAACATTTTATTAAAAAAGTTTTGAAACTTTAGTTTTGAAACTTACCTGGAATATCAGCGTCCACGTTGAAGTCGATTTTCTATACAAAAATGAAAAAAAAAAACGTTTTTAATATTAAAAAATGTTTTTTTTATAAAGTTTCGAATTTTTATTTCAAAACTTATCTGAAACATCGGTATTCATACCGAAACTAATTTTCTGCAAAAAAAAACAAAAAAAAAATGTTTTTTATGTTAAAAATGTTTTTTTTATCACCGTTTTCAATAAAATGTGATTAGCTGATTAATATAGTTTCACCAAAAAAAATTTTGATCTTTGTGTAATATTATTTTTTAACCAATCATGTTTTTTCAATTTTTCTTTGATTTTGTAGTTTATACTGTATATAGAAATTCACGCTCATTACTGCGTCTAATACTACACATTTTTTATATTGCTAACGCGTTAAAATATTACTTAATGAAAATGAAGTATATGAAATACAAGTATATACAAGAAAATATCAAATAGGGACGTGTTTTACCTATCAAAAGTGTTTATACTGTGGAAAAGACCTTACATTTGAAAATTGTCATTGTAATAAGTATGAAAAATCAACTAAAAATAACTGAACAGCCAAAGTACGTGGCTATAGAGGTTTGTGCTATAATGCAAGTAACGCTCAACCATTTTTAAAAGAATTTATGAAGAAAAGTAATCTTTAGTTTGGTTATGAAGTCAACCTGGCAACTTCCTTTTATTGTTCACTTTGTACAGCTTGTAATAGTAAAATAAGCCGAGAAAATAACAAATTTGGAAAGGAAATAAAAAAAGAAAAAGATATCATAAAATCTGAAGTTAATCAAGTAATAGAATTACAGCTTCGTATATCAATTAAAAATGTAAAAGAGATTTTACCATCTATTTTAGTCAACTGTTTTTTTGATGATATAAAATATAATGATCTTTCAACAAAAATTGAACAACTTGTCTCTGAACATATAGGATTAACCTTTAGTAATGAATATTTTTTGGCATATAATGTTAGTTCAGAAGTTGGGGCAGGAACACTTTTAGATAATGAAATTACTTTTGAAGAATTTCTAAAAGATTATAAACGTTACATCTCTAATAATAAAAAAGTGATGATAATTGTAACTATGAAGGATAAGAAAAAAGATAAGAAAAAATGAGAATATAAAGTAAATTTTGGGTTCAATCTGAATTCTTAATTGATTATGTGTTGTATTAATTTATAATACTTATTATATTATAATAAATAGGATGATAATTTGGAATTAGAAGTGACAAGCGAAGAAACAGAAGAAGAAGCACCAAAATCTAAATCAGTTAAAACTAAAAAAAAAGGTACAGCAGTGAATAGAGTCCCGAAAGAAAGTAAACTTGATGAAAAGGAGAAAATGATCAGTGAAATTATGATGCAATTAAAAGATAAATATGTTTGTAACCATTATAATCACAAACATTGTTTTGTAAAAGATGATCATCATTTATTTTTATCAAATGTATCATTTTCGATGTGGGTTCAAGATATTGTAAGTATTTATCAAAATAATTACCATATTATATTATTTATTATAACTAATAGAATTTTTTTATAGTTTAAAAATAATACAGATTTCGAAACACCTCCTAATCATGCAATTTTTAGCATGTTACATTCTGTTAAATCCACTTCTTATAATTCTAATAACAAAAATTCTTTAACAATTCCTAATGTAATTCAAAACTTTACAATAGAAGTTCCTTCTATGAAGAAATTTTTGGAAGAGTTGGATAGGAAATATGGTGCAAATAAATTTACATGTTATTTGCAAAAATTTGAGGAGGAGGAAATTCAGGTTAACCAATTATTTAGATTATCTGATGCAGAGTATAATTTGATAGGTATATCAAAAATTGGTATTAGACAAACATTACGTGATGAGTCAAAGAAATTTGAATAGATTTACACTGTATTGCTTTGTAATTGTTATAAATTTAGTAAATAATCATTTGAAATTTTGATAAAATAAATTTTCTGCATGTGATTATCAATTTCTTTGTTTAATATGCATTGTATAAAAAAACTATTACATATAAATTGATTGTTGAAAATATTGTTTTGCCATATTGGGAGTAGTTTGAGATAATGCCACGAAAAGTATATAAATAGGGTCATCACAATTATTAACAATATCTCTATATCTTTTTAGCCAACTTTTTAATGCTTAAAATGCAGTTTCTATTGGATTTAAATCGGGTGAATACGGTGGTAAATAAAGTATCCTACACCCAAATTCTTCAACTGATTTTACCAAATCTTCATCATGATGAATACAAGCATTATCCATAATAAGTACACTATTTTTACCGGGATATGGATTTATCTGTGGTAACTTAAAAATAAATAAATAATTAATTTTTTTTTTATGTTAACAAAGATACAATAAATATTTTTATAAATAAATAATTACCACTTGTATTATTATGAAGGTTCAAAATCTATCTTTATCACAACTACCTTCCATTATATCAGCCGCAAAAAATCCATCAACTGTCAATGCAGGTAATATTGTGTAGCACTTGCCCCTTATAAATACTACCTTTTTTTTTGCTCTACAATTTTTATAAGAATAACCATATAAACGTGAAACGCTTCTTTCATCATTAGACGTCTCATCAATAAAAATGAGTTATTCTGCATTATATTCTATCTCTATTTGATACATAAAAAAACCACGTAATGTTTTATTCTGTTTATGTGCTACTTTTTGCAACTTAATATAAATAAATTATAAATTAATAAATAATAATATAAAACTTAATTTCGTAATACATACTTTCTTTCTAGTAATACCACAATGTTGAAGAGAGCGGCATAATGTTGGTATTGAAACTAACTTTCCAGTTTTTATTTCCATTTCATAAATTAATTCATCTAAATAATAATCAACTTTTTCCTGAACAATATCTTGCAGTATCTATAAAATAATTTTAAATTAAAATTTTTAATACGAAGTACAGTATTTGTATTTGTTAATAGTAGTTAATTTACCTGCATATCCTCTGATGTAAATATCTTCCTTTTTCCTGACTTTCCAGTGAATGGATTATTAACACATCCCCATTTATCAAAAATTTTACAAATATTAGTAACTGTTGTTTTACTGACGTATAACCTCTTAGCAATTTCTTTTGATTTATAACATTCTTCATAACAATAGATAATACGCCATTTTAAATTTTCACTCAACATTTTACCAGTGTTGGCCATTGGCCGTTTGGCCATTTGGCCATGGCCAAATGGCCAAGTTTTAAATTTTGGCCAGCCAAAAAATGGCCAAAAATTTATATATATAAATATTAAAAAAAAGTAACTACTTAAAATTTGTAACATTTAAATTCAATTATTTAATTCATTTTTATTATAAATTTAGTTAATTTGAAGTATTTTCATTAACAAAAAATGGGGCATCTAAATTATCAATAAAAATGTCTCTTATATTCCATTTAGCTTCATTATCTAATGCAGGATGTGTTCTATTTAATAAAAATTCATCAATATCTATATCATCATCACAATGTAAATCAGTTACAGCACTCAACTCTGCTTCTTTTTCCTGTAATAATAATAATTGCCCCCATGTATTAATTAGATTATTCCAATTTAATGAAACCTGGAATTCATTATTTTCACCTTCTTCATCTGAATCATCATCTTGAGTGTTAGAATTTTCTTTTTGAATTTCTAAGTTAATAGGATTTTTTTCTTGATTCTCTAAATTTGTATTATCATTACTATTAATAATTATAAGAACTATTGGTTCAGCAATATTTTCTTTCATTTTTTGTTGTTGAATAGTTTTCACTTCATTAACCCTATGTTTATATGAAATTGCAGCACGTAATTTGCTCATTTTAAGTGTTTTTTCATACTATTTAAAAAATAAATTATTTATTATTACATTAAATTATAATTTTTTTATAGATTTAAAATAATATTATTTTACTTACATTTAATCTATTGCGCCTTTTGGTATGTAGAAATCCCATTTTTGACCAAAGCCTTTCTACTGATGCTGCATTAATACAAATTCCAAAAATTCGTTGTGCGACATATCCAAGTTCTTTTGCTAATGGAACAACAAATCCCCAATATTTTAAAATATCATCTTCAAATTGATTACTTTTTTGTTCATCAAAAGTATATATACCTCTTCTAAAATTTTCATATTCATGTAAAATTGATTTTGAAATTGTTTTCGTCCAAGCTTCGTAATAATAAATTAGCCACTTACTAAGATATACATGATTTAAATTTGGGATATTATCTTTAAATTTTGACATCTTGTATTTAGGATGTAAGAGCCATGATAAAAGTAAAAGTGGCTGTTCCTAACTTTGCCATCTTGTTTGAAGTCGATCAAGTATTTTCTCACTAAGTTCTATATCATCATAATCTTTCCAAAATTTTATAAAATATCCAAATCCATGTAGTACTTCATGCAGTCGTGCTTTATCATATTGTAGAATATCCAAAATTATACAGTATGGTTTAAGTATTTTTACAAGTTCTGAAAGTGATTGCCACCAGGTTTCGTCAAGTAGAATAGAAGAAATATTATTAGGTAGATATAATATATTATCAGAACTTTGATGAGATGTTGATTGCTCGGGAGATTCAAATTTTGAACCTAAAGTCTTTAGAAAAATAGAAATAAATTATTTTCAAATGTTATATAAAAATAAATAAAAATATATTATAATACCCGTAATGCTCCTTTTGATTTAATTAAAGTGCGAAAACATTCATAATGGCTATTCCATCTTGTATCATTTCCAATAGCGATTTGAACATATTTTCCATATGATTCTTTTTGTAAAGTTTGAAGCTGTCCAATAAAATATTTATGAAGTGATTATTTAAAGTAAAGTGCAATTTTTATTGCCTTTATTGATGCTTGCTTAAATTTTTCAGATTCTTTAAAGATTTCGCCTACAAAAAGATTCATCTGATATGTAAAACATGGAAAAAACATAATATGCACATATTTAAGTCGAAGCCTACGTCTGTTAAAATATAAAATATAATTAATATTTACATAAAATATTAAATAAATATTTTAATAACTTAATTTTTAAAAAAATATACAAATATACCGTGCAGCAGCATAACTTGGAGCACTATCAGTTACAACAGAAATAAGATTAACTCCCATTTTATTAATTTCCTTAAACATTGTTTCAGTTTTTTCAATAACTTCTTTTCATCTTTCTAATTCACTGCTTACATCTACTGCTTTCCAAATTATTACTTCCCCTTCTGATGTAATAAAAACAGAGCCAAGAATATTCTGATTTAACACATTAGTCCAACCATCAAAGTCTAAAGTAACACTAACAGAATCATTCATTAATTTCTTAGTCATTTCATTTTCAAGAATTTTTGATTCATCATTTAATATACGTCCTCCTAAAGTTTTACGTCTTGGTAAAATTAATGCTGGATTTAAAAAATGAAAAAGTTCTTGAACTTCCTTATTTTCCACCCATCTTAAAGGAAAACCTGCAGAAACTGTTGCTTGAATCATTAATTTTTCAAATATAGCTTGTTCACCCTTTGTAAATGATCGAGTTGCAAGTGGTCTAGTAATGAAAGAATCAAGTGTACCAACTGATGAATTATTGCTGCCTATATAAAAAAATATTAATAATAGTTTTAATATAAAATTATCAAGTATTATTATTAATAAATAAAATAAAAGATAAATACTTCTCAATGATGATATAGAAGTTATAGTACTATGAACTGAACCAGTTGATTCTCTACGCAATCTTTTTGAACTTACAATATTTTCGTCAAATTCATTAATTTCCATTCTTTCTGTTTCCGATGCAAATAATTCAAAAAATATTTCAGGATATTTATTTTTAAAATGTTGACATTTTTTCAAGTTATTTCTAACTCGTTCAGTTTTAAATGGAAATTTTGAAGCAATGCATTCGGACGGCCATTAACATCTCTACACGCAATACAAATACAATAATTTTGCCAATTATCAGCTTTTTCTGGTAATATTTCCACAAAGGTTTTAAAATTAGCAGCCATTTTATTTACATTTTATTTGTTTTTAGTTAGTGAGTTAGTCAGTTTTGAACACAAAAATCAAATTATAAATACCGGAAAAAAAAGATGATAAAAAAAAAAGATTGCCAATCTTGGCCGATTTGGCCGATTTGGCCGTTGGCCAATTGGCCAAATTGGCCAAATCGGCCAAAATTTGCTATTGGCCGCGGCCAATTTCCAATGAGGTTTTAGCCACCAATTTTGGCCGCTGCCCTTGGCCGATCAGGCAAATCGGCCAAATCAGGCAAGCTAATCCTTGGCCGTGGCCAAATGCCAACACTGATTTTACTGTAATATATTGTAAAATATATAATTAGATATAAATTTTATAATATAAATTTTATAAAAGACTATTTTGAAACCTTTATTATGTAAAAATCTGAGAAAAAAGTAAAGATCATGAAAAATCACTTTTTTTAGATTGTAAAATCGCTAAAATTTCTGACAAATATGCTTACAATACCTTTGAAACTTCTATGCAAGTAAATTTCAAGTATATTTATTTGAAATAGAAAATAAAATCGCAGTGTTGAATAGTAAATTACAATAGTTGTTTTTGACGTGAAAATAAAATATCGCAAAAATCAGCTTTTTTGCCCTATAAAAAATATGCATACGGTTTTTACACTGTATACATGTATCTTTGATACGGTTTGTATTTTTATATACTGTATAACAGTATAATGTATACTGTTCGCAAAATGTGTTTAGCAAAAAATACAATAAAGTATACGGTAAACATATTGTGTTATACGGTATCTAAATTCATACGTTTGAAACGTATACTATTTCTACTGTATATCAGTATTTTGTATACTGTTCTCAAAAAATATTATAAATGAAGGATACGGTATATTTAATCCATACGTATATAATGTATTATTCTATAGACTGTGTATACTATATTAAATTCATACGTTATAACGTATTTTCTATAGTTGTACTGGATATTGTATTTGTTTTTATTGTTTTTATTAACTTTACAACTTTATACTAGATACGGCGTTGTCAACCCTACATACGGTAGACCCCACGCCCAACTTAAAAGAATACACTCCAGTAGGTTAGATGTCAGTTATAAGTCACACTACGAAAATACCATACAGGAAAAATGAAGATTATGGAAAATCCTGCTAATATTGCTTACGATCACTCAGTGACACTCACCAAAATGGGTATATTATAAAGAATATTCCAAATTGCGGTTTGATATCGAACGAACGCCAAATCAAGTGAAATGATAGAATAGACTATCGCATAGTATTTTAAATCAGGAAGATTTTTCGAATCAACCTAAACCCTTCTTGTTACATGGACGCAATATAAAAATGGTAAAAAATTCAATTCCATAGTATTTAAACAGATACAATACTTCACCGAAAAATATTTTAAAGAAAAAACACGCTCGGAAGGCATGAATGCGATCTTTCGTCATATACCACATCCATCGCATTCATTAATAAGAATTCGGGACAATTTCCTTAATAAATTTTTTTTAAAGTACAAACCCTGATCAGTAAAATTTTCTTATTACTAACGTCCAATTTAAATTACGATCATCAATAAAAATTCGCGCGAAATTTTTTTAATAGTATTTAATTTTTAAAGCGCAAAATACTGCTTAATTTTAATGTTTAAAGTCCGATCTACTGCTTAATTTAAGAAAAATTCGCGAGAATTTTCCTTAATATCGCTTAATTTTAATGTTCAAAGTCCGATTTACTGCTTAATTTAAGAAAAATTCGTGAGAATTTTCCTTAATACTGCTTAATTTTAATGTTCAAAGTCTGATCTACTGCTTAATTTAAGAAAAATTCGCGAGAATTTTTCTTAATACTGCTCATTTTTTAATGTTTAAAGTCCGATCTACTGTTTAATTTAAGAAAATTCACAAGAATTTGATTATTCGGACTTTGAACTTTAAATTTAAGCTGTAATTGTGACATTCAAAATGAATGATGTTCAAGAAGATGACTGACAGTCTGACTGACAGTCAGACGGAATTCTGTAATCAAAAATCATCACAATACGACAGAAAGGGAGTTTCATAATACATAATAATAATGGCAAATAGTAACTAATAATTATAGAAGAACTTCACACTACTACTATAAACAGAATTTTGTACAAAAATGACAAAAACAGAAAGAACTTACAGAAAAACTTAGTATTTAATAACTAGATTAGGTTTATACGCGGCAACTTTGTCGCGCTAGACTGTTTAAAGCTATATTTTTTACAATTATTTATTTATATAATTTATTAAATTATATGATTTATTATTATTTATTTATATGATTTATTAAATATGGATACTTAATACTATTTATAGTCTAAAATTGTAATAAATAAATTTAAAAAAAATAATTAGTCAGCAATAAATATATGGATCAGCCAATTTTTTGCTACAGCGGGAGATCGGCTATTTTATTACATTAGTTTTTTTTTAATATTTAAACAACATTGATTCGTAAAAAAAATTACTGACCTCCTCAGAATCAGAATCTGAGTCTGAATATAGATATATATAAATAGAAAATGTGAACAAAATGGTAGATTTTGAACAATAATAAAGAAACTCAAATGATTTTTAATAATAACAGAATAAACAATACGTTGTAATATAATTTTTAATAATAACGGAAGAATAAAATTTTAACAATACGTTGTAATAAAATTTTTAATATTAACGGAAGAACAAAATTTTAAACAATGATG